ACACAGCCTAAATTCAGGTCAAAGATTAGAGAATTTGACGGCCTATCGCGGGTCTTTGAACAGAATATACAACATCGATCTGATTATGAGTTATGATTTAGCAGTAATAAGTAAATTATTTAGTAAGATCAATCACAAAAATTATTTGGTAAGTATTATTATTTATTTAGTAAGATCAATAAAAAACTACAGAGGTAGAAGACATTTTTCGTTTTTCAAGAATTTGACAACATGTAAAATGCAAAGAGATTTATTTTCCCCGAATTTATTATTTGCTCAGGAAAAAATATTTACTGAAGAGTTCGCTCGTTTTCTCAGCTTAAATAATTGCTTATTGTGAAGCTATTAGCAAATGGCATTTCAAAGATTGTTTTCTTAAACAACGTCGAGGTGTTCATGGCTAGGACGTTTTCCCATTATTAACAGCTGTTATGTGCCCGTTATAACTCATTAACTAGTTAATTAGAGAAGAATTTTCCCAGGAGGAGGGAAGCTGGAGGGACCTTTGAGAAAAAGTGATGAGAAAAAATGAACATTATTCATCATGAAATAATGAGGAATGGGGGCGAGGGGGGGGAGGAGGTGGAATGATTAACATAAATGGTAATTCAAGAATGCTTGCAAGTATAATGCTACTTAAGGTAATTCAGAGGTTCATGAAAATTTATTGAATGCAAATGCTTCATATGAGAATGATATAATTCTATAATAAAATTTTTTTACACCAATATACAAATGATATATTCATGTATAAAATGGTCCATGCAGCTCCAGCATCCTGATAAGAGTTTACGCGATCTTTCCTTATCACGATATGTTACATCTTTATTTTTATCACGGCGATCGATCGTTACGATATGTGCCTCCTTATCTTTATCACGGCAAGCGATCTTTATGATATGTTATCTCCTTATCTTTATCACGGCGATCGATCGTTACGATATGTTACCTCCTTATCTTTATCACGGCGATCGATCGTTATGATATGTTACCTCCTTATCTTTATCACGGCTAGCGATCTTTATGATATGTTACATCCTTATCTTTATCGCGGCGATCGATCGTTACGATATGTCCTCCTTATCTTTATCACGGCGATCGATCGTTGCGCTATTTCCATCCATCATCTATATGGTCAATGATTGTACAGAAATTTCACGATGAAAATGAGCAAACTCTGACCTAACTGAGTTTGTCTAAGATATTTTTCAAGTTAGGCGGTTTAAAAATGTGCGAAAAAATTTTTTGAGCTCAATGAGTTAAGAAGTATATTCTGGTTTACCAAGAAAAATCCCCAACAAGCAAAACATTTAACCTTTACCGGACATTTGAGCCTGGATCAATCCCATTCATGAAGCAATGAAGTTAAATATGGCTATGAGGTAACAACGTCAACATAATCAACATAGGGCACATCATTATGCAGGGGCATGAGCTACATATGGCTATATGAGGTAACAACGTCAACATAGTCAACATAGGGCACATCATTATGCGGGGGCATGAGCTACATATGGCTATGAGGTAACAGCGTCAACATAGGGCACATTATTATGCGGTAGCACGCTAAGCTATAACCCATTGTTCAGCTCATGGTGGGGGGGGAGGGGTCATGGGGTTCACAGATTGGGGGAAAGTTGCCTCTCATTAATGATCTATCAGTATTTTTTCGGTAATGGAGGGGGCAGTAGAAACATTGTATTCTGTATTAATTATGATATTTTTCACAATTTCGGTAATTTTATATAATTTAATAATTTGTATATTATCGTAATTTCGATAATTTTAGATAATTTCATAATATTTGGTTGAATTTTATATAATACTTGCAGGATTTTATAAATGTTATAAGTGACTGCCAGCATCGTGAACCTCACATCGAATTCCTCAAATATTTACACACAATCCCGAGACAAAATAAACAAAATTATGGGTTTTTAAGGGATTGTTAGTAACTGTTTATATGGGATTATTAGCAATTGTTTTATGGGGTTTCTATTTATAGTTTTTATAAAATATTCAGTGACGATTTTCATGGGATTAAAAGTTATATATATTGTTAAATAATTACTTATATTATCAGTCTGCTTATGATATGACCTGAATGCATTATTATCATTATTATTATAGACCTGGGTGCAGCATCATCTTATAATTCCTAATAAGATAATTAGTTGCGGTTTTCATGGGATTATTTGTTACTGCTCGTATGGGATTATTAGCGATGGTTTTTGTGGGATTATTTGTTACTGTATGTGTGAGATTAATAGCGATGGTTTGCATGGGATTATTCGTTACTGTATGTATCAGATTATTAGCGATGGTTAATGTGGGATTATTAGCGATGGTTTTTATGGGATTATTTGTTACTGTTCGTATGGGATCATTAGCAATGGTTTTCATGGGATTATTAGCGATATTTTCATGGGATTATTAGCGATGTTTTTCATGGGATTATTAGCGATGGTTTTCATGGGATTATTAGCGATGGTTTTCATGGGATTATTAGGCGGACAAGAGAAGCAACAAAATACCGCGGAATTAACAACCAAATCTGAGCTGCGGCTGCCGCCAGGAAATGATGGAGGTGCAATGGACATGTCTGTATCATTATCATTATAATTTACTTGGACGCAGCATCATTATCATAATTGACATGAACGTGGCATTACTATCATTATCGTAAACCTGAACGCAGTATTATTATCATGATTGAGCTAAACACGGCATCAATATCATTATTATAGCCCTTAATGCATCACTAACATTAATATAGACATGAACTCACCATCATAAGTATAATTATTGACCTGAACGCAATATCACAATCCTTATTATTGACTTGAACACAGGCATCATTATCATCACCAGGACCCAGATTTATAATCATTATCATAGACCTGAACGCATTATCATCATAATTTTCATGGACCTGAATGCGATATTATCATTATTAGAAAAATAAACACACTATCATAATGATCTTTGTTAACCTGGACGCAGCATCATCATTATAATTATAGACCTAAGGGTAGTATTATAACATTATTAATATCATTAGCACAATAGATTTCTTGAAGACAACGTGTTTATATTATATAGACTCATACATGGATTTTGAATATATACGTAAAAACTGTGTTTATCATTACAGAATTGATGATAGTTATCTCGAGAGTAAAGTTAGAGATTGAATACAGTTTACACATGTATTTTCAGTACGGTAAAAAATTTAAAATTAAATTACACGTTTAGAGTTCGCCGTGATTATTGTCTGTAGGGAGAGCTTACGCTTCAGAAATTAGTATTTAATTTTTCAGCATTGAATTATTACTGCAACTGTACAATTTTCATTAGTGACATCTAGCGTACCGTCAAAATTTTGTATACTCTAAAGTTCCATTTGTTTCGAAATTAATGACGTTCATAAAGTAAATTGTTTCAAATGACTTCATTTTCATGTCGCTGTTTGCCATTAGAAAGTTGGGCCTTTAAACGATGATAAGTTGATCATTTTGCTGTGAATTCCTTCAAAGCAATTGATCATTTTTGGGTGAATTCTTTCAAAGCAATTGATCAGATCAAGGTACATTCGTCCTAAGCAAATGATCATTTTAAGGTGCATTCGTCCAAAGCAATTTATCAGTTTAGGGTAAGTTCACTGCACTTACCCTAACTTCCAAAATAGAGGGAAGTTCTGCATGCAAGTATCGCTTTCCATCACTTACTCGTATTGGGAGTTCATGGCAAAACGAAGAACTTATGAAGAACAAGGCCGTTTATTGGGCACGAGAAAGCATTTGCATAGCAATGGAGCTCAGCCCGGGCAACATCTCATCTCGTTTCGGGCTCCGGGACGCGTTTCAAAAGTTCGAAATTGCGAGCCGGCGAAATATGCTCTCACAAAAATAGACGAGTCATGTTGTCTAAATAGCGACACACTTTCATATCCACAGCACGGGCGGAGAGAACAACTCGTACGTAATTTTTCGGGCCAGTGTTAAACAGTGTTAGGATGACCAACATAACCGAAAAAAGTGAAACGCTATTAGAACAAATTCTGATTCATTTATCTGACTGAGTATAACGATCGGGTGTTCACAAATAGACATCAGAGCCTTGGGAAAATGCATCACATGGAAGACGTACGATGCAAAATAGGGTGGATATAAAATATTTACACTCCAAAAATTCACGGAGTTTTCAAAATGGTTACGCAAACGTTAGTGCGTGAAAAAGATGCCAGACGTACGAGACCGACAGAAGAGGGAGAGAATTTGTTTACATTAATGAATAAAAAAATCGTTATCCTCCAACATTGATTTACGGTTGACGACATGCAAACATGGTGATGCATTTCCGACAGGAAAAGATACGAGGTCATCAAGATCATTCAACTCGAAACAACCAAACCTAAAGGAAATTTAATTGTTTAAATGTTGCTTTATTTTGTATTTTAATGCAATGAGATTTTATCGCAGATCAATGAAACAGAAACATGAATGACAACGTAAATGGTGAAACATGAATGAGTACTGCGGCATTCAAGGCCTCGAAACGCCGGCGTTCGGGAGACGAGAAATAAGTTTTATAAAAATAGTAACTTGAAAATTTTGGTCAAACAGTTATTAATGTTGAAAGGCATACAGTGGTAAATAAATATAAAGTATTTGTTTATTTACGATAGACATTGTTAATTCGTTAGGCTGATGCAAAAATTGATTGATATACGATTATTATTCGCCATAAAAATACGAGCGCCGTATCTTTGAAACGGCTTTTGGAGGAAGCCATTGATAGTAATACAAGCTGCGTTCACAAAGGGTATATAAGTTGATTGATAATAAATGCTGGAACGGATGACAATACTGGAGTGAAAGTTTGCGAGTTGAACAGATGAGAAGTTGCTAAAATGTTAGATTCTATATGACCCTAATTATCTCAGATATATAAAATGATAGAAAGAAACATATTGTTGAAAGTTTATGTTTTTCACTCACCATTATTTAGAGATGCATAGGAAAAATTATCCGCATGGAGAGATGTGGGCATCCAACATTCCACAAACACAAAGGAATCACCACAGAAATATTTCTAAAAGCAGTCTCCGTTCACTTGGAGCGAGTCACTGCAGATGAGCGTTAATTATCTTTGGAGCTTTTATTACAGACTCGAACGCACGACAATGCTCGGAGCCTTCAGTAAAACTGAGGAGCATCAGGCAACATAACCTCACTCTACGACAGCTTGTCAAACACTGGGCAACAGCGAACGCTGCACCGTGGTTGTCACAAACGCCTTGGGTACGACGCTGCCGTGTTTCCTTTGCTAGCATTGTCGTACTTTACAACACACGTATCAGAGTTCATAAATAGCAAAAACCAGAACCTTTGTGTTACAAAGACTACTGAGTCTCAATCTACAAACTTTAAACTGAACTGCATCATGTTAGGGATTAAGACAATGCAATAATAAATGCTTAAATAATCATATTTTTGAGCAAAGTTGTGTGTGCGGTGAGTGGGAACGCTTGAGCCATCACAACAACAAGTGCCAGACGCACGATGCGAAGAAATACCAGTGTTCAGCATCCGACAATTAGTTTTTTGTGTGGGATTCTAGCGAGACGGTCCAGCGGTCACAGGCGTTCCAGCCGTCATGGATGTCTGCATGTACCAATTTATATCCTGAATTTAACAAAACGTGTCCTGGTAACTCATGTATATTGGGATCTACTAGGAAAGTTAATTTAATGTCAGATTACTGCACATCTGCTAACAATGTTTACAATTTACATCATTTCAACCTAGAAAGACAATATTTCAGAACCTTTTAATACGAATAAATGTGTGTTTTAATACGAATAAATGTGGCTCAGTTATTTTCGGAACCAAGTTATTTTTAATGCCTACCTCTATGTTCACACGTAGATAAGGTAAAGGATTAAAAATAGTAAATAATTGTTTCCAAGGTCACCAGCCAGTTAGCGAAAAGCCAGTACAACTTTTTTTTTCACAGAAAGCTTTTCCTTAATTTCAATATTCACATGAAACAACAATTCTCGATTTAGGCAGGAAAATAAGGTTATGAATTTTTTCTGCATTGAATCGCATAGCTTTAAAAAATGTTTCATTCGCAATTACAACTTCATTGGCCATTTTGAAAATGGCAAGACATTTTAACATTCGATTTTCATATTTCGATTTTCAAATTGAACACCTCCTTGAAAATATTATCGGTTATTGGACGTAGAAGTAATCAACGTTGAATGTTATAGACTTAAAACATGTAGACAAACATAGTCCTGAAACATGCGTTCAAAACTTGACGCAATCATCAAATTATAGAAAAAGTTCTTCCTAAAAACGAAAATAATTTCTCGATTTTCTTTTAATAAGTTAGGTTAATGAGTTACGAATCGTTTTGATACGCGAATTAGGACTCATCATGCGTATACTAATGAGCTAATGTCGAATTGAGTTCGTTCTCATGCCAATCTACTTCGGTCTTAGTTAATTCGGTAGTAATTAGACACGTGGTTAATGCGGTGCACAGAGTGTGGTTTAATGTGATTCCTTTAATTTATGTCATTTATTCAATTAAGAAATACATCCAATTAAGAAAATGTACTCAAAATTCACGGCATTTGTTGCAAGAAACCTTGTAAGCCTTTTTTTTCTTAAATGAGAGTTTATTCATTTTCATGTCCATAATTTTACGATAATGAAATCATTGACTTCATTGAAGTTATTTATTAATATCTAAAAACAATCGAATTTAAATCGTAATAATTACTATTGATCAAGCCATATTAATTATTTCTCATCGTTACGCTTGACCACAATTGGTATGAAAAGTTGAAGTTCAATAATTGAAATCACAAATCCATTGTTCCTGATAATATCATATAAAATATAATTTAAGTCAACATAATATATTAATAATAATTTAATATTTTGGTAATTTTATAATCAATATAATGTAATATATCGATGCCGACACAAACCATGTCATTAACCGCGTATATAAACTTGATAATATCATCATATTTCGACCAAAAATAAAAGATAAATTTTTGTACTCAGACATTAACCGTACGTACTTTTTTTTGTTTCAACCGCCGAATTTTTCACCAAGCCACAGGGCGTTGAAAATTGCTGTTCCGGCCATACAAAAAAAAAAAAAAAACTTCATTGGTTCGTGAGAACCAAAAATGTCGCTCATTGTCTAATCATCATGAAGTGAAGAATGTCGCGCTTCATCATTCATGTCCAATCATCATGAAAATAATAAAAGATAAATAAATAAATTAACTCACGTAACATTGATCAAGTTTCTCTCACTTAGTTTCTACTTTGAATTACTACGAGTTACTTTGAAAAATACCAGCATTGATCGCCATAATTACTTGACTTGTGGTTGCAGGGACCCGGTTGAGGGTGATTACAATCACCTCCTCATAAGGCGGCCATGTTGAGGGGTGACTACAATCACCTCCTCATAAGGCACGTTCCTATAAAAACTCCTAAAAAATCCCCCTCCCACTCTGCAGGAATCCTACAAAATGGCGTCTTTGTTGCACGGACTTCTTAATTCTTGTGCTTAAAATGTGAATTCGAGTAAATACTGTAGAATAGTAAGCAAAAATAATAGCCTTTGCTAAAAAAGAGAAGTTAACAAATTAATTGTTGTGATGAGAGCAATAATATTAATAATATTAAACAAATAATTAGGATGTAATAAATAGCGATGATGTTCAAGGAAATACATAATAATAATACACTGTATAAGTTATTATATAAGGTTTGACTCGTACTATAATCTTATACACATATGATAGATATCCTTTGTAAATATATTTAAATATGTTATTTAATATTATTTGATTAATTCTTATTTATTTTACACAAAACACTATACAAAGGCTGCGTCTGGTATCAGCTAATCGATTAGTGCTAATCTTGCTCCACTTTAGCATGGGGGTGAAGTTCCTATTAATTATTATATAGATTTATTTTCCTGCAGTATATAAAGCGAAGACGTCGTAAAATTAAAAGGTTATTACATGAGTGGCATAATACAGGAAATTGTTTGAGTTTGTTGTTGCTGATGGAGGTTGTTAGAATAATAAGATAATTGAAGGCATAAACATCAGCTTTTGATTATGCGCTAATCATAATACGGGTAATTATTTCAGTCTTTAGCGATAATAAAATTCATCGATAATAGTTCGCCATAAATCATGGGCAATATTTTCTTTGGACATACGAAAAAAGTATTTATGAATTTACAATTTTTTCTCTATTATTTGTTTTTTAATCAAATTATAAAATAACATTTAGTTTGATTATCCAAGATATGCGTAAAATATTTCGTAGATCACGAAATAATTCTCATGTCATTTCGTTGTAATTCAAGATACCAAAATTAATATTTATTTTTAATTTTACGTGGCTAATGTTCATTTTATTCCGTGATATAATTTCAATTATTGGTTTGCTGAGAAATAAATAATGGCAAATTTTAATATTCATTGAGTAGGTGAACTTTTGATGGCAGCAGTTACCCCTCTAATACATTCCAGAATTGCATATAAATAATTTTTCAGAACCTTCAGAAAATTAATTTACTAGCCAAATAAGTATGCTTTGAAATATATTTAGTAAAAGAGTTATGCGAGCTGTTAGGTACGTTTTAATAACTCTTTTTTTTTAATTTATCCCACACTTTAACAGAAACTGCGTAAGCAGAAAGAATCTCTCCTTTTCAGAAATTTGATATTGGATTTACTTATAGTCAGCAGTGAATAAGTTTTTTCTAACCATCAAAAACATTGAAGAATACATCTTACGCTTTTGAAGGTCGCAGCAGTTTTACGGACGTTATATAAACAAGTAAATTAAGCCGTAACAAAATATATTTTCCTTGGTTTTGGATTAGTTGCCATTAGTGATGATGGCCATTATTATTGTAAAACTCCTATGCGATTTATTGTTTACAAATCGACTAGACTGTCTCGATCAGTTATTGTAAGCAATAAAGACTGATAAGTAAGGATAATGTAGAAGCGTTTTACGTCTTACCAGTAATAAAAGACAATGTAAGAACGTCTACTTCTTGCCGGCCATATAAGACAATGTAAGACCGTTGTAATTTCACGGTTCAAGACGAAGATGTTTACGAAGTTAACGATGCTTAAGAATCTGCCACGCGCCGATCAGCTATATGGTCCTTGACATGCATCCTATTCTTCATTCAATGTTTAGGTTACCAGCTGAACTTTCGGTGGCCAATCCACACCCAGAGAAATGAATGGGACTTTATTCAAATAACGATGAAGTTTTCATCCTTATGTGGGTCATCCTGACCCAGTTAGGCACGGCCGGCAAAATGGACAAATCAGTGCTACTTGCAGAAAGTGTGTTTCTAATTTTACAAAATGACCCATGAATTTGTCTGAGTGGATGCCTTTTTTAACAGGCAGTCGGCAGTAAAAAAGTAATTATTTTCATCAAGGATAAATTTCGAAAATTTTTGGGTCACATTGTCCAATTTGTGACCCACTTTCTCACCTACAGCACGACCAGAGAGCTGACATGGCGCTTGTAATAACCTTAGTCGGCCCAAACTGGGTCAGAATATTCCATATGAGGGTAACAAATTAAGTGTATCGTCCCATGGAAAAAGTCTCCCTTATTTCTCTGAGTGTAGACTCTGGCATGACTCACAGACTCGTTCGTAAATCTTGTTGTTTTCGTCACAGTGGAAGAGTTTTTTATTGGTCCCCAGTGAAAGGTTTTTGTACTTAGCGTATCAGGTAGCATCATGACCGTAACTAAATGAGGAAAAGTACGCACAAAACAAGCGTAAAATTTAGTAATTAAAAGTGATTAAAAGTACTAACAGAGATCTTGAGGATAACAATTCATGAAGCCTTGTATCCTATGTAACCTAAAATGGAACGCGTGATCTTTTTTGAACGTGTACAATGATGAACAAGCTTATGCAGTACAATGATGAACAAGCTTATGCAGTACAATGATGAACAAGCTTATATGCTGTACAATGATGAACAAGCTTATGCAGTACAATGATGACCAAGCTAATGCAGTACAATGATGAACAAGCTTATATGCTGTACAATGAGGCTTATAGCACAAAATTTGAAATAGACGAAGAATTGCCGGTCACTGCACGCGTTTTCTCGGCAGAAGCGACTTGTTTCATTGCTATATCCATTGAAGAAGG